TTCAACCTGTGATGATGGCTGGGGGCCTGGGGAGCCCAGAGCGCCGTGGACCCCTCGCGGGGCCTGTTCCGTGCTGCCTAGGAGCCGCCTGGCCCGGTGGGGGCGACGCCCTCCTGGGGCATCGGGGCGGGGTGTCGGTGGGTGGAGCAGCGCGAGGGAGACCTCATCCAGCGCAGCTGCGGGCCTCCGCCAGCCGAGGTCTCCCGCTTCAGTCCCCGTGAAAAGGGCTAAGCGAGGATCTGGTCACCTCGGGGGTCGCCCCGCACGGGTCCGCGGTGCTCCGGCCGGGCCCCGCACGCAGGCCCAGCGGAGCCCGCCTGGCCAGAGCTGCCTCTCTGGGTGTTGAGATTATGGCTTTTCTTTTAAATCTTTTTACCCTTGCTTCAATTTTATCTATACTAATATACTTATAAACTAGAAAATAATCATCTGTGCCAAAAGATAACATAGATGTAGTAAAGGACTTCGTATTATTGATATTGGTTTCACTGTATGACATTGCTGTTTTGCAGGTGAAGGAAAGGCTGAGTGTCAGCAATTTCATGTGGTTTAATGTGACATATCTAATTTAACGCAGAGCCCGGAGGGGATGCTGCTGGAGAGAGGAGCCATTGTCTAGACTGGCCAGTCTGTGAAGAGAGCACAGACCAAGCTGTATTTCCAGAGGGTTCTGTCTTAGTGTTTGCTACATGGCCAGGGCCTATGCTGGTCTCTGTGGGCTTTTCCTGGGCTCACAGGTTGAAATGACTCACATGCTAACCTGGTTAACAGGATGTCTTAGTTGCTTTCCTGTCACTGGGACACAACACCCAACACCCACAACTTACACAAAGAGAGGTTTATTTCCCACCCCCTCTTTTTTTGTAGTAGTGGGGATCGAACTCAGGACCTTGGATTTCTGAGGCAGGTGGTGGAACCACTGAGCTAAATCCCCCACCTGAGGAGAGGTTTACTTTGACTCAAGTTTCAGTCCATTGTCAGCTGGCTCCAAGGCTGGAAGGACATGGGGGAAGGGACCTGGGCCAAGGAAGGTGCTCACATTATGGTGGCCAGGAAGCAGAGAGAGAGAGACGGAGGAGCCAGACAGGGAGATAGATCCTTCCAGGTCATTCAGCCAGTGACATGTCTCCTCCTGCCAGACCACCTCCTAACAGCACATTCCCCCTGGGATTCATCACAGCATAACTCACTCATGAGTACAGAGCCCTCTTTTGGAAGGTGAAGCCCCACATCTGGACGCATCAGGCTTTTGAGGGACAATCTAGATCCAAACTTTAACCCAGGAGCACACTGCTTGGTACATAGTTGGTTAAAAAAACCACATTACTTCCTTCATTTCTCTCTCTGGTGCTTGTGTATTGGAATTCCCTAGGCATGCCTTTTTCCTCCTAGAGCAGTGAGTGGTGGCAAAACTATGGCACACGTGCCACAGAGGGCTGTTTATCACTGAAAGCTCTAAAAGGTTTGCCATCACTGTCGTAGAGTGTAAAACTACTTGAGGGGACTCATGGCTGTTTACTGCTATGTATGCCCTACGTAGGGGCGTGCTACAGTTTAGATATGAAATGTCTCCCAAAGGCCCACATGTTACAAGCTTGGTCCATAGTCTGTGGTGCTATCCAGAGGAGGTGCATCCTTGGGAGGTGGGGACTAGTGAGAGGAAGTAAGGTCATGGGGAGTGGCCTTGGAGGGGATGTGGGGACCCTGGACCTTTTCTGTCTCCATCACTTTGCACTGGCTGTGAGGTCAATGGGCCTCTTCCACCACCCAGTCACTGTGATATGCTGTGGTGCCACAGGCCGAAAGGCAGCAGGGCCAGTGGCCATGGATTGGAACCTCTGAAACTGTGAGCCAAAATAAACCTTTTCCCTTTTTAAGTTCATTTACCTCAGTTATTTGTTATAGAAAAAGAAAGCTGACTAAAACAGGGGAATCATTATTCGCTACACCAGAGTATTTTTCATATAAAGATTCATGGGAGAAAGTTCCCACAAGCAAATGGCTTGTTTTTATTCTAGGAATACAGTGGAAAGTATGCTAAATTAAATTCTCCCTTTGCATTAGCTACTAGGAAGCTCAGAGCCACAATTTTGCCACAGTTCTAAGCAGTGCACTCTTGAAATTTCCACTTAGGTGTCTTATGGTCTTTCCATTAGTTTCCTATTGTTCCTGTAACAAATTACTAACTTAGTGGTTTAAAATACTAAGGATTTATTATCTTACACTCTGGTAATCAGATGTTCAAAATCAGTTTCACTGGGCTGAAATTCATTGATTGGGAGGCTCTGGTTCCTATTGGAGGTCTATGGTTAGTTTGAGATTATGGATAGTTTTCTTTTCTTTTCTTTTTTGAAGCAGTGAGCCCATTTTCCTCCCTTTTCCAGCTCTGAGAGGCTGGTCACATTCACTGGCTGTGGCTCCTTGCTGTATTTTTGAAGCCTGCAGTGTAGCATCTTCTCTCTCCTTTGACTTTTCCTTTTGTCCTTAATTTTCACTCTCCGACTTTGATCCTCTTACCCTTCTCTTATTATAAAGGCCCTTAGGATTACATTGTGCCCACCCAGATAATCCAAGAAAATTGCCCCACTTCTAGATTCCTAATTTAAACACATGTACAAATCCCTCTGGACCGTGTGAGATAATATATCCACAGGTTCTGGGGATTAGACATGGATTTTTTGGGGTGAACTTACTCAGTTGATCACATTCTTTTCAATATGAACTGCATAAAATTGAAATTTGGTTCTCTTAATCAAACTGTCCCTCTGCTTACCTTTCTGTCCTTCTTTTCCCCCATCTCAGTCGATGGCTTTGCCATTTACTAATCGTTCACATCAGGCACTTGGTTCCTCAGTCTCCCTTATATCCACATCCAGCACCTCATGCCATCCTGTTGTATTTCCTTCTAAGCTTGTTATGGTTTGGATCTTAAATGGCCCTCAAAAGCTCATGTATTGAATGCTTGGTCCCCAGCTGGTTGTGCTATTGAAAGATACTGGAAACTTTAGGAGGTGGGACCTAGTAGAAAGAAATAGGTCCTTGCAGGTATGTTTTGGAAGGACTCTGGCTCCTTATTCTCTTGCTGCTTTTTTGCTTCCTGGCTGCCATGAGGTGAGAAGCTTTCTTCTGCCACAAACTTCTGCCATGATGTTTTGTCTTACCACAGGCCCAGAGCAATGGGACCAAGTGACCATGGACTGAAACCTCTGGAACTGTGAGCCAGGATAAATACACTGTCTGTTAAGTTGCTTATCAGGTATTTTGTCACAGTGGCAGGAATCTGACTGATACAAAGATGTGTCCAGAATCTGTGCACATCAGTTCCTGGCTGCTGACCAGTTCCTGGCTAAGCCACCTGCATCTCTTATCTGAACTGCTTTCATAAAGCTCCCTAATTTGTTTTTTTACTTCAATGCTTGCCTTTTCTGGAGTCTGTTCTCTACAAGTCAACCAGACTTTTAAAAGGCACAAAGCAAATCATGCCATTTTCCTGCTTAATATTCTCCAATAATTTCCTGTGTTACGTTGAAGAAAACCTAAATTGCATGCTCTTCCTAAACTTATCACAGTTGACAATTACTGAGCTGTTCTTTCTATCATTCATTTTCCCCATCAGATTGCTAATTCTCTGAAGGCACATTTCTGTCTTGATTGTCACTGTGAGCACCTCCTAGGTATGTGGCACTTAATAGGCTAAATACATGTTCCGCATCTTCCTCACCCTAACTTTACCTTAACTTCTTGCTTTCATTCTTCATTTATTCTGATTTTCTTAATTTCTATTGCAATGAGAGGAAAAAAAAATCCCTACTCTACTCAGGACTGGAGGTTGAGCTACCTCTGCTCCCTGTCCATCAGTACAGCGTGGCATGGGTAAAATGAAATTATTCTACTAGCTGTATCTTCCCAGAAAAGGTGGGGATTCATCCCAGAAGGCCAGAATAGGCTGTGGGATGTCTAAAAAGAAAGCTGTTTGGGGCCAAAGATTAAAATTGCTTTGCATAGTCATGTAAAAAGTTTATTTTTACCCATTGGGAGCAGGGTGTCTTCTTTGAGAGAATAATATAGTACTGACTGCTTTTTCTCCCTCCCTCTGGCTAGGCTGGAGAGAGGGAAAATTTGGGCTCTGGAATCTGGGGAGCAAAGACAAAGTTCAAAGCTCTTCTGTTTGTTGGAGGTGACCAGGGCCCTTGAGATGAGTAGGGTGTGTGCGCACAGGAGAGGGATAAGCAGAGGAAAACACGCTGGGAGAAGGAGGTCCTTAGCTCTTCCCCTTCTCCTGAGCTTGGACCCTAGAGCAAGGGCCGCAGAGCATCCTAATTTATTCTGGGCAGAGTGTAGTCTTGTTTCTTGGTGCAGTGCCTTTGACCTGCCATCTCTGCAGCTCCATCCAAGGCCTCAACCTTGGCCCGAGGTGCTGAGCACCACTGAGGGATCTAGGCTTCTTCGCTGTCTCACCACAGCCCGGATTGGCTCCAAGTTGGTCAGTTTTCCCCAGGACCTCCTTCCCTGTAGGTGCCACGTGTCTGATTTATACACAAACATGATTTGCCTGATTGTTGCAGTCTGGGCCTGGAATAATTTTAATTAACGGGAAAATGGTCCTCAATACACCGATTAGACCTCTTCAGGTACAACAAGATAAAAGCCTGATAATTTGGATGGAGTACTCTTCTTAAACGTCTACTCTATGCACAGCAGCCAATGGGAAAGCCGGGCTCTCTCCCACCTGATCCAATGAGTAATTAAGAGAGGGCTTTTTCTTCCCTACCTCTCCTCTCCCTCCACCCCGCTCCCCAACTGGAGCTTAACAGGTTGGTGGTATAATTTGGAGACTTTAAAGAGTGTTACAGTAGGAGCTTAGGCAAGAGCCAGGGCATCTCCTTCTGGCTCCCCAGGACCAGCTGGGTTTGGAAAGCAGGCAGGTGAGAGAAGGAAGGAGCTTGAAGCAGGCAAGGTAGGTGACGACGCTAAGCAAAGTTTTCGAGGGACCTGTGGCCATGAGTGAGCTGGGCACACACAAGGCCAGCGAAGGTACCGTTTCTCGCCTGCTCAATGTGGTGGAAAGTGAGCTTCAGGCTGGGAGGGAAAAAGGTGACCCTACAGAGAAGCAACTTCAGATCATCCTGGAGGATGCAGCCCTGTGGCAGCGATTCAAAGAAGTCACTAATGAAATGATCGTGACCAAGAATGGCAGGTGAGTTTATCTGCCGGCCTGGCGGGGCTGGACTGGCTGGGCAAGGGAGCTGAGACCCCCTGAATACTGAAGAGGCTGCCGCTCTTCATGCGGGTGGCAGGGTCTGATTAAATGCGCAGAAGGACCGGCTCACGTGGCTGTCCCCCGGCCAACTTAATTAATTCTCTGAGATCATCAGAGAAGTGGAAGATGAAGCCACCTGCTTTACATGGATTCAGAGTGGAGAAATTCTGAGACATTACTGTAAAGGGGGCACATGCCCCATGGGTTGGGGAAATGCACTCAAATGTCAGCAAATAATATGAATTTTTGACTGCCTGATTACCCTGGAGCAGACTCACGCTCCAACTCTGCTCAGATGAGTCTCAGTTCTATTTGGAAACTGGATGGTTTCCTCCTCAACACTGCCAGGAATTTTTGACTAGTTGAAGATTGGGAGCAAAAGGGCAGATTTAATCTCATTGCCTCTCACTCCATCTGGTTTCCAGTGTGTGTTTGGGGCACGTGTTCGTTTTCGAGTGTGTTTGTGATTATGTGAGGGCCGTTGTTGCAGGAACAGGGAATGCATTCATAATCTACCACCCTGGAGAAGAGAAGTTGCCTTCTTTTTTTTCCTTACTGAGACAAATTAGGGATGAATGGAAACTGAACTCTTGACATTTCTCAGATTCTATTAAATCTAGTCTGCTAATTGGTTGTCCAGGTAATATTAGAAGCTTTTTCTTCGCGGAGGAGTTGCAAATATTTTGAAAGAAAATCTCACTGCTCGCAGCTTGGCCTCATGGCTCCCAAAGTTCGGCTGATGCTCATATATCTTTTGGTTCACATGGGTGCATAAGTGCAAAACACTAACGACATTTCCTGCAGGGTGAGTTTGCGTGGGGCTCTCCTTGAGACACAGAGAAATTTTGCTAAGAGAAAGTTGGGGCCAGCTGAATTTGTGGTGAGCTTTTGACTCTAGGCAAAATGCCCCTCTTCCTGATGTCTTGGCTTTCTATTTTTGAATAGAGCACAGTACAGGAAATGAACAATTCCTTATCCATCTGGGGGAATTACGAACTTGAGAGCTGTCAAATGACACTGAGGTGCTTCATACGTGAAAGCTGTATGTGAAATAAGGGGATTTTGATAACTTGTGAGTAGACTGGCATTAGGACTCTCAACTAGCCTGAGTTTTACATTTTTCTCTCTAACTGCATCCCATATTTATGTCACAGAGGAAATTTATTGCTTATGATTTATAGAATTGCAATTACGCTTGTTCATTCCTCTTGATCCATATTTACACATCATTTCTTGCCCCTTTGGTTGAAAGAAATATAAAGCTTTTCTTTTTTGGTGGGGGGAGTACCAGGAATCAAACTCAGGGATTCACACTTGCCAGACAGACACTGCGCTGCTGAGCTCCATTCTGGTCCTAAAGCATGTTTTTAATTTCAAGGAATTATCCCGAATTCTTTCTTGAATCCACAGCCTTTGTACTTAGCCACTTCTCCAGCCCCTCCCCCTTTTGAGACCGGTTCTTGCTAAATTGCTACGTTTACTTGGATTTAATTTATTTTCTTTCAAAGATGAGTGATGATACAATTGTAAAAACTTTATTATGTTGGAGTATAGGTAAACTTTGGTTTCTTAGTTTTTGTACTTAGTAGTTATGCTAATACCTAGACTCATGCTGTCTATTTGGCTGTCAAAGTGGCCATACATTACGATGAAATAAGTAAAATCACCAATTTAAAATACAGCCCATCAATTTCAACAAGGAAAAAGTAAAAAAAGTTTCCAATATGTTCTGAACCCAATTAAATAGTAAGTTATATCAGAATGCACTTTTACCACTTAAAAGGTGTTTTTTGTCTTTTCTCATCTGAATAAAAAATTTCCCCATGCTTAAAATAATTTCATATGAGCTATGACATGGGTCAGCAGCAAGGAAGAGAAGATTTTCACTGGAAAGTTCCTGTTTTGCTCCCAAATGGGAATCCTGATGGGGCCTTAGCTCCTCCCCATTCTTCCCTCCCTCGCTCCCTCCCTCCATCTCTTCCTTCCTGTCTTCTCCCGCTTGTGCCTTCCTGTTCTCTACTCTCTGGTCTCCTTTTGAGATTAGGTCTCCACGGCCTATGTTGCCCAGGCTGGCTGCACCTCGCAATGTTCCTGCCTCAGCTTCCCAAGCAGCTGGGATTATAGACATGCTTCCCCCCATGCTGCCTTTCCTTCCCCTCTTTTTTTAACTGAAATTTTTAAAACTTTTTTTTATTAGTACATATTTGTCATACATCTCGATCACATTTTCGGGGAATTTGTACCTGTATGCAATATAGCTTAATTCTTTTTTTCCCATTCCTCTCCCCTCCTTTCAACCCTTCCTTCCCTCCCGATTTATACAAGCTTTGTTTCCACTTTTTTCCCTTCCATTCTCTTTTTTTTTCTTTTTCCCTTCTTCCCCTTCCCATGCCTTTAACTGCACTCTCCTGGCTACTTTGATATCCTGAAACAAAAAAGCATTTGCCTTTCATGGTCATTCTGACTTTGGGGAAGAGGCAGAAGTCTCACGGTGCCAGATCCAGTGAATGAAGTGGATGAGGACACAATGTCTTGTTTTTAGGAGCCTGCCTTTCCATTGGATGGCACTCGGTGGCATTTGCTGTATTTTTATCACCCCTAGTAAAGACACTCATGAAAGAGGATTCCAGAACTGCTTCAGAAAGTGGCAAGAATGGTGGGATCAGTGTGTTCAAAGGAAGGGGAAGGATTTTGAGGGGGATTTGTGGCAATGTGTCTGTTACTGTAATGCCTTTTAAATATTTACCATATATTTCCTTCATACCTCATCCTCCCCTTAACTCTGAAAGGTCCAGTTAATCTCTGACGACAACTCTACTTTCCTTGAGAAGTGGAGTTGTTTACAATTAAAACTTCCTGAATTTTGCTTTTACCCTTCTGCTCTTTCTCTCCCTGCAAAATCAGCCCATCTCTGCCCTCTTTCTCCCTACATACCTCACAAGACTCTTGGCTTCTCTGTGGTTAAACCAGCTACACCTTGGAGGGGGAAATGGGGACAAATCAACTTGATGGGAAATGCAGTTCTTCCGCTCAAGCCTGGTGCTGAGTGGTGAGCACAGGTAAATAGTTAAATTGTCCTTAGATAATGCATCAGGGTCACTGCAAGATGAGACAGAGGGAGAAGTGGGGTGGGAGTAGATACTTGGCTTTGAGGCATGCCCAGTCCCAGTTACAAGACCTTCGGCAAGTTTACAGGCCTTTATTTATTCTTCACTGGCATAATGGATGTTAAAAAGTACATGGCATCTCTTAGTTGATTCATGTAGTGATTAAGAAAACTGGAATACTTTAAAAAGTCCTAGGCAAATGGAGTACCAAAGAACATAAAGCCATTAATCATTCTATCATTTTTCGGATATGACCTCTTCTAAGAGACAGAACACTCTGGCTTTTTTGCTTTTATTAATAGCATCACTGTGATATAATTCACATCACATCATGAGTCAGTGGTATTTAGTGTTTCCCAGAGTTGTGCTCCCATCTCCATGAATAATTTTAGAATATTTTCATTACCCCTACAAAGGAACCCTGTCTCCCTTGACCATTTTCTCCTTTCCCCAGAACTTCCCACCTACTTCCTGCCTCCATAGAGTCATCTGTTCTCCTCATTTCCTATCAGTGGGATCATAAATATGTGATCCTTGTGAGCGGCTTTTCTCACTGTAATGGTTTCCAGATTCATCCATGTTGGAGCATGTATAAGTACTTCATTTCCTTTTTGTGGCTGAATAATATACTACTGAATGGATCTAACACATTTTGTATCCATCCATCAGTTTGTGGACCTTTGCATTTTTCTACCTCTTGACTGTTATGAATAATGCTGTTATGAACATATGTGTGTGTGTGTATGGACACATGTGTGTGTATTTATGGTACTGGGGACTGAACCCAGGGCTTTCACACTGAGCTACATCCCTAGCTCTTTTTATTTTTTATTTGAGACAGGATCTTGCTATGTCATTAAGTTGCCTGGGCTAGGTTCGAATTTGTGAACCTCCTGCTTCATCCTCTCAAAGTGCTAGGATTACAGGCATGGGCCAGTATCCTTGGCAGTGTACAAGTTTTTGTGTGGGACTATGTTTTCATTTTTCCTACACACCTATTTAGGAGTGGAATTGCAGGGTTAGTAACTCTGTTTAATAAGATGAGTAACTGCCAGGCTGTTTTCCAAGGACACTGCACCATTTTACATTCCCACACCAGCAAGGCGTGGGAAATGTCCCTGTATCCTGCCAACACTGTTATTGTCTGGCTTTTCTCTTACAGCCATTCTGCATGCTATGAAGTGGCCCTTGCTGCAATTTTGTGTTTTTCTGACGCTAGTGATGTTGAACATCTTTTCATGTGATTGTGGCTTCCTTAAAACACCTAGGATCCGCAGGGTGTAGTGGAGCACACCTGTAACCCCAGTTCTCGGCAGACTGAGGCAGAAGGATCCCAAATTTGAGTCCAGCTTGGGCAACTAGTGATTTGACGAGACCCCGATTCAAAATGAAAAATAAAAAAGGGCTGAGGGTGAAGCCCACAGTGAAGGCTCTGGGTTTGATCCCCAATAGTGGTACAAATAAACAAACAAAAAGCAAAGTAGAGCTGTGTATGCAGAATGAAGGAAGGAATGCCATGAAGTGCTTTCTTATCCTGGATTGGTGTCATGCTGCGTCCTCCTGGGACTCAGTGCAACAGAGCTGAGGGGGCAGAGGGCCCCTCTACCTACTGGAAGGGAATGGATATGTGAGTGTTTCCTTCATCCGCTCTGGCCTTCTCACTCAGTTTATCTGGAGACCGGCCTCTCCACCCCCAGGCCGTTGTGTGTGCTCTTCCTTTGCAAGCAAGTGCAGCTCCTGGGGCAGCTTGCTTGACATTTCTTCTTATTTAGGTCTGAGCTCCAGTATCACTCCTGGACTTTCATCTCTTCAGATCTGCTCACAGAGCTCTTCACCCTTTACGTCCTGTGTGACATTACCAGTTTGGATTCCTGACAGAAGAGTTCATGCACTTTTGCAAACTAAAATGATCTTATAAACTGGGCATGGTGGTGCACACCTATAATCCTAGCTCTGTGGGAGGCTGAGACAGGAGGATTGAAACTTTGAGACCAGCTTGAGCAACTTAGTGACTTAGTGAGACCCTGTCTCAAAATAAAAAATAAAAGGGGTTGGGGTTGTAGCTTAGTGTGAAGGTACCCTCCCCCCCCACATTATCTTATACATTAACAATAACAATTCATTTACATTTTTGTTGTCTGATTTCTTTGTTAGAATACAGGCGTCATAGGCAAGAAGACCCTGGACTTGTGATTGTTTTGGTCATCATAGAACAGTTTCTGGCATAGAGCAGGCATTAAAATCGTTCCTTAAATAAGTAAATGAATCTCCAGCTAGGTATTGAGATTTGGGAAAACACGGAGGGGACTTTTTTTTTCACTGTGGTTCAACTATAATAACTTTCTAGAAGTGTCAAAAAGAGAACATAAAAAAACCGTGTTGTGAATGTAATAGAAGAGGAGGCACTAGGGCTGAGTAAACTGGCACATGCTCATTCTTCCTGAGTCTGAGTGTCCTCCTCTGTGAAAGGGGCATGAGATCGGCTTCCTTGGGAGGAAGTAAGGCTTAGATGAGGGGTGACACACCCAGGCCTAGGTGCAGAATAAACTGCTATTGTTGGAAAAACTATTTTGCATTAAAGCCATCTCTTAGATCCGAAGTCAGAACTGTATGAAATTTCCCAGTGTTTTGTGTCATAAAGACCCCAGCCTTGCTGTCATCTTGAGCAGTCGCATTGTCAGGCTGGGAGCTTAGTGCACGGGGAGTGAGTGTGCTTTTACAGCTTCCTTCCTTTCTTTTTAAAAATTTACATGCACTGCATATTTTTATTGAGAACAATTTTGACGCTTTTAAACTTATTGTGATAAATGACAGTTATACATGTGTCACTGTTGTGTTTTTATAAAGTGAAATAAAAACAAAGTAAAGTTTTTAACACTTTAGACAGACTGTTTCCCTGTATACCTCCTAGAAGCAAGCTGGCACTTGGCTGTCAAGATGACCCCATGCGATCCCCATGACAATTTCTGATGGCCACATTTGCTTTTTGTTTTTTTTGGTACCAGGGATCGAACTCGGGTCCTTGCGCTTGCGCAGCAGGCAGCGAAACCACTGAGCTAAATCCCCAGCCCTGATGGCCACATTTGTGATTGCAAATGGCACTTGTGTGTCCAGGGGTTTTCTGTTGTCTACACTTGGGTAACATGATTAAAATAATTGAAAATGGTAAAATATGCAGTAGAGAAAAATCCTTCTGTTGAAGAAAGCACAAAGGAAAATACAAGGGGAAGATTTTGCATTATAAACACAGCCTCCCTAAGGGAGGGTCCTCACTTCAGTTCGTGTGAAGATCCAATCATGTCTGTAAAGGAGAGGGTGTAGTTCTCAGCCAAGACTTCGATTTGGAATGAATCATCAGGTGCAATTTCCCACCTAGAAATTTCATTTAATTCACACACGTGGCCTAGTCTATTTAAACCACATTGAGACAGTTTCGTAAAGTTGTTGAAAGAACTCAGTGAGTTACTTCTTGTAAGGTGCTGTTGCTGGGATCACAAAAGTGCCCTGTAAGTGTCAGTGCATTGCCGTTATACCCCGGCCCTTCAGCCTGCCAGCCCTGCTTCTATTCTGCAGTCTCACCTTAGGAGTGACTTTGGAAGCTGGAAGTACACGGGACATCAACTCCATCTCCTCTCTCCTGCCTGGCTGGCAGATCCACTTTCCTCTGCTTTGCTTTCTGGAAGTAGTCTAGGTAGAATGAGGAGTGACTGCTCCTGGCTGTCGGTTTCTTTTGAGGGTGGTAGAATTGCTCTAGAACCAGAAGCCAGCCATCTGGGTAGCTTCTCCAAATATTTGTGCCAGGAACTTATTGGTGTTATTCTAGAGGGTGGAAGAGGACCAATGAGTCCAGATCTGTCTATCTCAAAATGTGATTCTTGAACCCAAATTCCCACAGAATGCTCAGAGAAAAGCTAGCTCCATTGGCTCTGAGCAGTCCTGGAGAGAAGGAACTGGACTGCAGCTCCGGGCCCTGTAGATGTGGCTGAGCTTTCAGGCCACTCCATGGCAGCTCTGCCAGGGCTGACCCTTGGGCAAGGCGAGGAGGTTCTCTAACATCCTTCCGGGCGCTAGGTCTCTGCCTTTTCTTTTAGACGGATGTTCCCTGTCCTGAAAATTAGTGTCACAGGACTGGACCCCAACGCCATGTACTCCCTCCTGTTGGACTTTGTCCCTACGGATGGTCACCGCTGGAAGTACGTCAATGGGGAGTGGGTGCCTGCAGGCAAGCCAGAGGTCTCCAGCCACAGCTGCGTCTACATCCACCCGGACTCCCCCAACTTTGGGGCCCACTGGATGAAGGCTCCCATCTCCTTCAGCAAAGTGAAGCTGACCAACAAGCTGAACGGAGGTGGGCAGGTACGTGCCACCTCCCCACAGTGCCAATCAAGAAATATCAAGGGTGCATTTAGGCAATTAGAGGGGTCCTCACCAACCTCTTCTCCCACAGAAGCCAATTATTCCCTGGAGTCCAAATGTAAACAGGAATAAACAGCTCTTAATTGGTGCTTTCAGTTTTTAATGGACTTCCTGATGTGAAGAGAAAGAGAGAGAGCAGTTGTTTACTTAATCATCAAGCCTCTTTTCATAGTTTTGTCTTGTGTGCTTTTTACCAGGCCCCAGGAGGGAAATGTTTGTGGGTACCAGGGTTTTGTTATTCTCTTTCCCCTTTTCTGGTGTAAGCGGCATGTTGGCAGTAGACAACTCCCTTAATAAAAAGCTGCTCCTAAATGAAATAATTACTTCCTCCGCTTGGGCATTATGATAATTATCAATAGAATATTGAATCAGCTTTGGTTTTTCAGAAAAAAAAATCCAAACAGACCTTAAATAAGGAAGGTTTTATTAAAGGTCTCCAATTACAGTAAACATGATTTGGGCTTTTTTCTCCTGGTTTCTGTGGTAGGGCTGTGGATACTAGTCTCCCGACCAGGTTGTTAGTTTCCTTATAAAATGAGGCTGTGTTGGGGGACCAGAGACTTGGCTGAGAGGAAAGGCCTTCATTCTTTTCTCTGTCCCACATATTTGGCTTCGTGGGACCTGTTGCCCCAGGCTTGGGCCTGCTCCGTTCTGTCAGTGCTTAACTGTCAGGCAGCAGGAGTCTCTTTTCTTAGGAGAGGCAAAGAATGCCATGGGAGTCTGTGATTCCAGAAGGTTCTAGTAGTTCTTCATTAAAACCAGAAATTGAAAAGTAATTGTTATTGCCTACCAGACTTCCCAGCAGGAGACTTCCAAAGCCTTTCCTTTGAATCGTAAAGAGTGGATTGCACCTAACCAGTGAGTGTCAGATCTCTTTTAGTCACCAGTGAAGTGCAGCCACCATTTTGAGTTGTTATTCTTCATATGAGATAGAAAATGGGGTAGGGCCGGGGATTTAGCTCAGTGGTTTCGCCTCCTGCTGTGCAAGTGCAAGGACCCGAGTTCGATCCCCGGTACCAAAAAAAAAAAAAGAAAGAAAACAGAGAAGGAGGAAAATGGAGGGCCGGACACGGAACACTTAAGAACAACTCCTGGCTCATAGGCCTCACAGACCCCTGTGTTAGCCTCAGTGCTCCATTCATTGTGAAAAGCGAGCCTCGTTCCTTTCTCAGTGGTGCGGAGCAGGTGACCCAGGACATCAGCCATGTGTCCCTGATGGGTGGGTAGGAGCTCACCACAGGCAAGTCTGTCACCTGCCACACTCCAGGCTTCTCTGCATCTTCTTTCCCCTCTTCAACAGATAATGCTGAATTCTCTGCATAAATACGAACCCCAGGTTCACATAGTGCGCGTGGGAGGTGCCCACCGCATGGTAATGAACTGCTCTTTCCCTGAAACCCAGTTCATAGCTGTGACTGCCTATCAGAACGAGGAGGTAAGAGAGAGAGAGAGAGAGAGAGTGAGTGTGTGTGTGTGCTCACGCGTGCCTCAGGGAGAGCGGGCAGAAGGGCCAGGGGGATCCTTTACTGCCACGAGCAAGCGCAGATGAAAGCTACATTTTCCAGGATTCAGACTCTCGAAGCAGCGAAGTTCCATAACGGGGTAGCTGCTCTCCCCTCGCTCTTCTAGTCTGCCAAAGACCCGAATGTTCATCGGCTTTATATCACTCTCACCAATGCCTGGTGTAGTCACCTCAGGAAGAGAAAGGGTTTATTTTGGCCCACAGTTTTGGTTCTGGGCCTATGGTGAGGCAGCACCTCAGGACAGGTACAAAACCACTCACTTCCTGGCCAGGGAGCAGGGAAGAATGAGGATCAGCTGTGTGTGGTGGTGCAGGCTTGTAATCCCAGTTACTCAGGAGGCTGAGGCAGGAGGATTGCCAGTTCAAGGCCAACCTGGACAACTTAGACTGTCAAAAGAAGAAAAAAATTAGAAACAGTCCTGGGTTCAATATGCAGAACACGCTCCCCTTGTGCACAAACACACACACACACACACACACACACACACACACACACGAGTGAGGATGGACCAGGGCCTCACAGTCTCCTTCAAGAGCCCCTCACCCCGGGGCCAAGTGTGGACCCATTGTATGGACCCCTGGGACACGAATATAGCAGCAGCCCAGTGGATGCTGTTCAGGTATCAATAAGACACCAGTGTCCATTTAATAAAACTCGAGTTTCGTTAAAACTCAGGAATTTTGGGGGGTCCTGGAGGGCCCATGGCCTGCACAGAGCGGGGTGAATCTGGCGTGGGTATCACCTACTCCCTCCAGCTTTGGAAGCTAGTCTGTGGAAATCGATGCCAATGTACTCCCTTGTTTGGGGGTTTGTGATGTGACCTGTCTGGTTTGTTAATTTCTGAGCACTGTTAGGTCTTTTCCTGCACTGTAACTTAACACTGTGGCTGAGTAGTCAGAATTCGCGATGTCAATTGGGTGTGATGGCACACTCTGAGAGGCTGAGGCAGAAGGAACTCAATGTGTGCCCAGTCTGGGAAACTTAGCAAGACCCTCTCTCAAAATAAAAAATAAAAAGAGTTGGAGGAATAGCTCAGTGTGAACTCCCTGGGTTCTATCCCCAGTACCACACCAAAGAAAAAAAAATTCGTAGTCTTGCCTCTCTGAGAACTGGTTTGGGTCCATTCACATCCTCAAGGTTTCCAGCCCTGCTGACCATCAGGAGCACCTGGGGAGCATTGGATTCTTTCTGATTAAACTGAAAAAAAATTAAAGGTAACACATGTTTACTTAAAAACCTTATGGTAGACTAGTAGCACAGAAGTATGAAATGATCTCAGGATCTCACTGACATAAATATTCTTTCCAATATTTATTTATTCAACAAGTATTTGTTCACTATTGTTCTGGATGCTGGGAAGAGAGCAGTGGGTCAAAGAGATGAACCCAGACCTCAAAGCGTCCTCATTCCATTGAGGGCAGAGGGAAACAATATTCTGTATCTGGCTCTGTCCCTGTCTGACCTTGTCCCTGTGTCAGATAAGGCTGTGAGGGCCAGACAGTGAGAGTTCTTGGGAGTGAGGATTTGGTTTTCAGACGAACAGTCCAGAGGGTGATTATTTAAGAGCCAGAGAGTCAGTGCCAGACTGTGCTCTCCATCTGGGATGGGATCCCGACCGGACTGCTTTCCGCTGTGTCCCAAGTGACAAGAAAAGGAGCTTACATGTAAGTAGTCAGTGCTCGGTGACTATTGAAAAAACGCCAAACCAATAAAAGGCTCAATGCCAGGTTTGCGCAGGAGGGCTTGGCTCATTTCTTTTCTTTCTTTTTTTTTTTTTTGTTAGTTCTTTTATTGGAACATTTTAGGTATACAATTCGTTTACCTTTATCATTGCGTGCTTGTACCTGTACTTGATGTATCTTGGTTCTTATTTTTTTTCCCCCATTACCTGTGCACCCTTCACCCCCTCCGCCCTTCCTTATTTACATAGATTTCATTTCCATTTTTTTTTCTTTTCTCATAGTTTCTCCTTTCCCTCTTTTCCTTTCCCCTTCCCTTCCCTTCACTCCTTGTCTTTGGATCTTTTTAATTATTTCAAATTATCAGTTATTCATTTTAATCATTTTAACCCTTGTTTACACTATCAGCTTTTCACACTAGAGAAACTATTTGGTATTTACACATGTGAGTCCTATTTATTTCACTTGAGAGTATGGCCTCAATATGCATCCATTTAGCTATAAATGACTCTAGTTCTTCATTCTTTATGGCTGAGTAGTACTCCATTTTATTAAAAAAACACATTTTCTTTATCCAGTTTCCAGTTGATGGGCACTTGGGCTGTTTCCAAGCTTTAGCTATTACAAACTGTGCCGCTATGAACATGGGTGCACATATATCACTGCGGTATGATTCTTTTAATTCTTTTGGGAACATACCCAGCAGGGGAATAGCTGGGTCAAATGGGACCTCTAGTCCTAGTTCTTTGAGGTATCTCCATACTGATTTCCACAGTGGTTGCACCAGTCTGCACTCCCACCAGCAATGGAGAAGGGTTCCTTTCTCCCCACACCCCCGCCAACATTTGTTATTGGTTGATTTCTTGATAGCAGCCATTCTTTCTGGGGTGAGGTGGAATCTCAGTGTTGTTTTCATCTGCATCTCTCGAATGAACAATGATGTTGAACATTTTTTCATATATTTATTTGCTTCTTTTATTTCCTTGTCTGAGAAATGTCTGTTCATTTCAGATGCCCATTTTTGAATTGGGTCTTTGAATTTGGTGGGGGGTCTGATTTTTTTCAATTCTTTATATATTCTAGATAGTAGTCCTTTGTCTGAGGTACAGCTGCTAAAATTTTTTTCTCATATTGTAGGTTGTCTGATAGTTCTGTTGGTGGTTTCTTTTGCAGTGCAGAAGCTTTTTAATAAGATGAGATCCCAGTTGTTGATTCTTTCTGCTAGTTCCTGTGCTGCTGAGGTTTTGTTCATGAAGTCTTGTCCTATGCCAATGTCTTCAAGAGTTCTACCTAACTTATCTTCCAGTAGTTTAGTGTTTCTGTCTTAATATTTAGATCTTTAATCCACTTTGATCTTAGTTTAGTGCATGGTGATAGGTATGGGTCTAGTTTTAATCTTTGGCAGGTTGAAATCCAGTTTTTCCAACACCATTTATTAAATAGGCTACCTTTCCTCCAATGAGGGTGGTTGGCTCCTTTGTCAAACAGGAGGTGGCTGAGTATGTCTGGAGTTGCTTCTGTATCTTCTAATCTATTCCACTGATCCTCAGGTCTGTTAATTTGCCAGTACCATGCTGTTTTTATCAGAGTGGGCTTAGCTCATTTCTAACGCTTTGCCAATTCTTTGCTCACTTTAGATGCCACTTAGCACTTTCTGCTTTTTTGAGACAGGGTCTCTCTTTGTAGTTCAGACTGGCCTTGAACTCATCATGTAGCCCAGGCTGGGCTCCAATTTGCTGCAATCCTTCTGCCTCAGCCTCCCGAGTGTGAGATTACAGGCATGTGCCACCTGCCTGGCTGCCACTTAGCATTTTCACTGTGAGCCATAATAAAATATCCTTTGCCAGGGACAGTGCATTAGTGATTTAGTGCAAGAGTAAGTGAAGAAACATGGGGAGAAAGAAAAAAAAAGGAGAGAGGGAATTACCCTATTTTACAGAAATTTGCAGATGAAGATGGAAGGTTCTGTCTGCTCATAAGTGTTCCAGTTTGCTAACACCTCTTGTCTTTGCAAATGCAAGATCACAGCTCTCAAAATCAAGTACAACCCTTTTGCCAAGGCCTTCTTGGATGCCAAGGAAAGGTGAGTAGATAAATTTCGGGAAAATCTTATGAATTCACCTCTGAAGTGTGAAATTTGTGTTCAGTCTAAAAAGAACTAGCCTGGTGGTACTTGCATTATTTTTAATAAAAATCTGGTTCAGGATTCAATTCAGTGTTCAACAGAATCAACAAAATTCAACCAAATTATAATTGTTCCCAATAACAGTGCTTCAGAGCATCTAGCTGGCAATATTGTGTCAGTCTTGGGTTTTTTTTACAGATTTTTGAAAGTAGCACAACCACATAAAAAAAATGATTTAGACTTTCAAGAATTCACTCTGTCCTTTCCCTGTTACCTCTGAGTGATATGGTTTTAATAAGTTCTGTTTTTTTAACAACACTTAGCCTAGAAAAGGTCAGTTATGGCAGGAAGTTCCTATTTCCCAGCAGAGACTTCTGGGGTTGCCATTCTATCATTTTGGGTCATTGAGCTGCCATCTCTAGCTTTCTTTTCTATATTCTAGGACAAGATGAAAGATACTGGTGCTTACTGTTGACTTTTCTCTTGACAAGAGCTAGAGTGTAAATATATTACCTTTGTAATGTTCAGATTTTTTTGCCTGAAGTTTGAATCTTTTCACTTATTTTTATAGCTGTCTGATCTTTCTTTTTTGCCTTAAAGACTGTTAATTAATAGACAGATATTTATAATGATTTGTCACATGAATCTGTCCTGTTCAGTATTTTAATAAATATAGACAAGGGCCGGGAATTTAGCCTGATGGCGCCATGTCTGCCTTGGAAGCTCAAGGTTCTGAGTTCGATGCCTGGTACCACCAAAAAAGAAAAAAAAAATATGATATGAAGAGCATACTTATAATTTTTCAGATAACAAAAACCCTAAGGGAAAAGCACATAAGTGAGATGACAGAATCTAGAGTCAAAATAATAGCAGCATGATACCACAGGAATTCAGAGCTTTGAGTAAGATGTCCTGAGTTTGAGTACTGACCGTGCAATTTCCCAGCTCTTTGACCTTGCAGAAGTCAGTTTACTTCCTGAGATTCACTTTCCTAATCTGCAAAACGGGGATAGCAATATTTCCCTCATAGGGTCATTGGTGGACCTAGCATGGCACAGCTGTAACTGTGTTCTAAAGTCCCATGCAAGGCTTAGCTGTTTTACTATTGCCTGAATCTTGGCAGGCAGGAGCAATAATCACAAGTCTGTAAGATCAAACTAAGCAGGGGTAGCTATAAATGTGGGAATGGGGGTAAGAGTAAAACTGCAGCTCACAGAGCAGTTGCACAAGTAGAAACTGTCCTGGGGAGGGATGGTAGCTTTGGGAAAAAAGGTTTGGTGTTCTCATTCCCATAATTTATTACTCTCCAATGAGAATTTGGGGTGTGCTTTATCCTGGACTTGTACAGTGAGCTGTAACTTCATTACTTTTCAGAAACCACCTAAAAGACATTCCAGAGGCTGTTGCTGAGGGCCAGCATGTGGCCTATTCTCACTGTGAGTTGGGGGGACCCTAGGTGGGCTGTGTGTGGGGTTCCACATTCAGACTTTTTACCTTCGTGACTGCTTAGGGCCTAGGCCAAATCAAGACCCCAAGGTATTTCTTCTACGTACCACACACTTAGGTCCTTCCCAGAGTTCACAGGGACAGCCGGCATTCCTAGGCTTAAGGGGCCCCAATACATCTTAGCAGGACATAGAAATGGCAATGATTAATGTGACCTTGTTTTCATGTGAGTGAGGCTTAGAGTGTGCTCAAAAGTGCATTCTGGGCTTATCTCCTACCTTCCCACTGGCTGTCCTGGATTTCCCCCTGTTCTCAGTGTTTGTGAATTTTGGCATCGGTCACCATGGCACTGCCTCAGGGAGACTGTGGCCTGGCATGTAAGAAGAGTCTGCCTCTGTTGCCTGGCAGGCCACAGGGAGAGCTGGAGTGGTACTGGGAATTCTGAAGGTAGAGCTGAATGTCCTCAGCAGGTTCCACCTTCTCTGAGTCCTCCTGGGGGAGGGAGTTCCCTGGAGCTGTAGTAGGAAACCACGGCCAGTGACCTCAGAGTAGCAAAATTAACCCTGGCATCTGGCACACTCTTTAATTTACATTATAGAGTATTGCTAAGATTCCAGCTATGGAATTCTTCACTTCCTCCTAACCCTTCATGCATCTTGTATGCCAGGAATGGCCAAGTAACCATATGGAGAAGCCGCTCTGGAAGAACACTTTTAAAAGTGACCTGGAATAAAAATTCCCCCTGTTTAGGTTAGGACCACACACAGAGACACACCTTCTCTGAGCTCATGTGTTGGAGACCTTTCAGCAGGCTTCTTGGGGTCTGTACATTACATGTGACAAAGCAAATGGTCCTAGGGCCTCTTGCCTGGTTTTGCCCATTGGACACTTGGATCTTGATTTTCTTAATGTGCCCGGAAGTTTTAAATGTTCTATTTTCCCTCTTGAAGTTTGATCATTTTAGTCTGTGAAACAAAATAACAATAGAGTAATAGAAAACAAACATGCCTGTTTATAAATGTGCATCAACACGAGAGTCAGACACAAAGTATGAGACTCAAAGACAGTGCCAGATGATTGATGCTTAAATAGCATTTGGAGATGCAGGAAGAGTAGGGGCTTGAGGCTACTGCTGGTGGGGGAGATTGTGATGTGGATTATGGAAGAGTGAGGGAAAGATGCGTGGACAGAGGCTCTTTATTATGCAGATGAAGTTGCACCTCAAAGACTACGTGACATCAGGCAGAAATCTGGATAAGGGGAGCCTCAGACAGCCTGTCTGCGTGCAAATCTCCCCTGAGAAAGGAAAGCTTTTCTGAGCCACTCCTGTGTTACAGCCTTGCTGAGTACCATCTCATAAAAAGCTGAAGAAATGTATGTTGGGGAGCCTTGTTTTTGGCCCTGGGGACTGAACTCAGAGCCTTCACACTGAGCTACATCCCCACTGCTTTTTAAAATTAAAAACAGATTTTTGAGACAGAGTCGTGCTAAGTCGCTAAGTTGCCCATGCTGGGCTGGAACTTATGAACCTCCTGTCTCAGCCTCCTGGAGTGCTGGGCTTACAGGTGGGTACTACCACATCAGGCTGCCCATTTGGATCTCCCTTACCCAGCAGGGACCACTTTGGTCCTATGTTTATACAGCAATAGGAAAACAAAGATGACAAAAGTGTTTGTTGGGAATGAGTGGGCCCGCACTTTGTAACATGAATTCTGTGCAGTTTCTATTTAAGCAGTGACAGCGGTTCTAACTCCAAGCTCCAATTTCTACATTGCTGAGGTTCAGGGAACCATCCTGGAGCAGCCCAGGTTCTGTCTGACTCCATGTCTGTCACCTCAGCTGACATCTCGTGGAAGGCCATGCCTCTGGTTTTAGGAGCCTGCATTTGCATGCCTGCATTGCAAATAGCAGCCTTTGCCCGGGAACTTACTGGAAGTAGTCTTCTGTTCAGGAGCTTCACTAATTCCTATGAGATATTTTGTAAGCTTCTAAAATATTCTGCAGAATCCTTGCTGCCAAAATGCATGAGTCCAGCTCCCTTGTTCTCTGTGCCCCCCAGAATCCTCTTTGGGGGTTGGTGGTGGGCAGTGTCACTTGGTATTTCAGACTCCATGACTTGACTGGGCTTTTAGAGGTCAACCTGAAACTGCCTGTCCACCAGCACCCCGGGATGGGGTATTCTCTAATTGTTAGAAACCAGGAGACTGCGTGTTTCACAAGATCACCACAAAACACCGAAACTGTTTCTATGATATTAGGGTATAGTATTCTTGTGTGACACAATAAACAGCCCCTGCCGGTTGTGGCTCAGTGAGTTGCATGTACATCTAAGGCTTCCTAGACTGACTTTTTCTTGAATTAAGCAGAAGCATCTGAGCTTTTGCATTTCTATGGGTTTCTGCATTGAGGCTGTATTTTGTGCAGCTGTCTGTGTTCCAGTGTTCAGAAGAGGCTTCCCACACTTTGCTAGGACCTACGTATCGCCCATCTGCAGGTCACTGCTCATGGGGAAGGGAATCAGCAGTGGGATGGTGGTGGTGGGGTCATCTCTAAGGGGGCAGGTGTCAGCGTCGTTCATAAGACATGGCCGTGCAAGGTAAGTGTCACCTGACTTTGGTACAAAGCCCCTCTGTCCTTCTCTGTCTATCCTAGTGGGAGGCTGGATCTTCTCCAACCCGGATGGTGTGTGCACAGCGGGAAACAGCAACTACCAGTACGCAGCTCCTCTGCCCCTGCCTGCCCCCCACACTCACCATGGCTGCGAGCACTACTCTGGCCTCCGAGGACACCGGCAGGTGCCCTACCCCTCTGCCTACGTGCACAGAAACCATTCTCCCTCAGGTGTGTGGCTCTGCTAATGAAGCCCTTGGGATGGGCTGGGTTTGCAAGGTGGTGGGAGGAGGGGGGAGTTGGGGAGAAATAAACAGCCAGTAAAAATCAGTATCTGAAGATAGAACAGCTTTCATCTACTGTACATGCATGACAGTGTATGTTACTATTTTGTGTTATTTCATTGTTATTTTGTGTACTGCTGTTTGATGGTCTACTTGTAATAGTTTTGGCGTTTTGTGGTGATTTTGTGAACCATGTAGTCTCCTGGTTTCTAACGATTAGGGAATATCCCATCCCGGGGTGCTGGTGGACAGGCAGTTTCAGGCTGATCTCTAAAAGCCCAGTCCAGTTACAGGTCTGAAATACCAGCTCACCGCTTTCACGTGGCTGTTTCCTACGTGGCAGTTGTGGCTGGGTCCAGGGTTGGAGGACTCTTAGGAAGGTCTTGGGAGCCACATCCTTGTATGTTTAGGTCTTAGTTTGACTTGGTGGGAGTAGCCCAACCTTATAATGTCTGCAGTGTGGTTTTTTGTTTGTTTTACATTAGTGCTGTTATTTACATGCTTTGTTTCTCAGTTACTGCTGTCTTGTCTTCTTTGACCTTTTGATACTCTGACTGTGGTTATTTATCAATTTGGTAAGAAAAAAAAAAAGAAAGACTAGTGGTATAGGAGGCATAGCTCAGTGGTATAGCACTTGCCTGTTATACTTGAAGCCCTGGGTAATAGAGAGAGAGAGAGAGAGAGAGGATATATGGATATATATCATTGAGGATCAGGCTCTGTTTGAGCCACATGGACAAAATGGTCAAATACCCTAATATGCAGATCCTGTTCTAATATGGAGCGATCGATTCTAAATAAAACAAAGGTAAAGAGTTCATGGGTCAGGAGGTGGTGGGGATTGTTTAGATTCCAGCCTCCTTCCTTCCTCTGTGACACCCTCAACTCCACATTTCTGTAGGGCTGTCCTGGATATCTGTTCTTGTCCTCCTCAGCTGGTGGCTTCTGGTAGCCTCAACAGCTGCCCCCAGAAAGGGAGGACATGTGGCTTCATGAGAGGCCACTCAGCAGTGCCTTACTCTGCTTCCTGCTCTTTTTCATGTGAAGCATCTGCCCTGCACACTTGCACAGGGAGGTGATGGAGACATATGAGGGGTGATCGAAAAATACAGTGTGGATTTAAATTAAAAACAGTGGATTACAGTGAAAGACACATCGCCGTGAATCCCTGTTAAAATGCTCCCCTCCTTTCAAACACTCTTATGCCACCGTTCTTGCCACTTTCTGGAGCAGTTCTGGAAGTTTTCTTTCATGAGTGTCTTTAGTTGTGCTGTCCTGGCTGCGGTGCTGTGATGTCCTGAATTGATTCAGAACATTTACCCTTCGTGGTCATTTTGACTTTGGGGCAGAGCCAGAAGTCACATGGTGCCAGATCTGGTGAATAAAGTGGATGAGGACACACAGTGATGTTCTTACAAGACTGCCTTTCTGTTGGATGGCACTTAGCAGCAGCATTCACTGTATTTTTCGATTACCCCTTGTGGTTTCTTCCCAGGAGGGTCTAGGGGGTATACAAATACATGTGTAATTAATCATCATGCAGTGCGGTGAGTTCTCTGATGTGGCCTGCGGATCTGCAGCACCCCCTGGGAACTTGTTAGAGCTTTTGACTCTCAGGCTTTACCCCGGACCACAGTCTGCACCCCAACAAGATCCCCGAGTGACTCAGAGGCACATTAAGGTTGAGAAATCATCGAGATCACACACAAGCCAGGGTGCTGTGGGAATGAAAAAGCAACTAAATCTGCCTGGTGGGTCAGAGAAGGCTGCGCTGAGGGTCAATATTTAGATTGAGCCTGGAAGGGTGATAGAAAAGGACAGGAAGAAGTGGGCAGGAGGGGCGGATGCACGGTGTGTGTCACAGTGGAGGCGTGGGTGTCCCAGTGGAGGGAGCGAGGATGTGGAGGATGGAAGAGCTGGAAGACCAGAGCTGCGCCCAGAGAGGTGGCAGATGCCACTTCACACAAGGACGCGACATGGCGTCTTTGCTCACTTTGTGCCTCTGTAACAGAGTACTGGGGACGGAGTCATTTGTAAAGAACACATCTATTTTATCACAGTTCTAGGGGTGAGGAAGCCCAAGATCAAGGGACTGGCATTTGGTCAGGACCTTCTTGCTCTGTCGTAAGAAGACAGAAGGCATCTCTTGGATGGCAGAGAGGGAGGGGGCTGAATTCATCCTTTCATGAGAAACCCACTCCTGTGCCACACCCAAAAGAATGGGATTAATCCAACACTGAGCTCTTAAGGGTCCCCCCCTCAGCACTGTGTCACTGGGGATGAGGTTTCTAGCACATGAACTTTAGGGAGGCATTCAAACTCAGCACCCGGGGTGTATATGGGATTGTCCTCTCTCTCTTCCTTCTTTCCTCTTCCTTTCTTTCTCTCTTCTTCTTTCTTTATATGCATGCTTTATGCAAATGAAGGCTCAAAGAAATAGAAAATGCTATCCCTTTCCTTCATTTATGTGTACAACATGATCTATCATCTATCTCTCTATCATCGATCTAGCTATCAAAATTACTACTACAGCAAGCATATCCATCTCATGTAATTATCATTTCTTTTTAGCTGAGAGCACCTGAAACCCACTTCCATAGGACAATTTATTCTATAGCACAATATTATTAACTATATTCCTCACGCTGTATGCTACATCTAGACTTACTCATCCCACATAACTGCATCTTTGTGTCTTTTGACCCAAGCTCCTCACCCCCCCCCCCTCACTGTTCCACCCTCTGCTTCTATGAACTCAGCTTTCCTAGATTCCACATACAGGTGGGGTCCTGTGGTCTCTTCCTTCCCATGAGAAGATGCCATTCTTGAGATGTTTAAATTCACCTGGGGATCATTGGGGGAATAAAGTCTTGGACCTCAGGAATCTCGGCTGGGCACCGGTGGCCCTTAAGCCCAGCTTGAGGGAAGGCTGTTCCAGTCCATTCTTAGAGGGGAGAGAATGTGGCAGTGGGAGTGAGACAGGTGGGTCACAGGGAGCCAACATCCCCCTTACCTGAGCCTCCTGTGTGAGCTGGAGGTGGGCAGTTGTGAAGACTGAACTACCAGCCTTGCCTGGCATGTGGATGGCATTCAATCAGCCTAAGTTCCTTCTTCTTTTCTGTTTTCCTCCAAAAGAGCTAGCAAACTTGGTTATAGACTAGCCATGGTTATATTCTGCCCTTGGATAATGCTGTTGGTCACTACCTTCACAGGTTTTGTGTGTCCTGTCCATTGAACTGTTGTTATTTTTCCTAAAGTGAACTTGATAGAAAGTTCAAGCAGCAATCTGCAAGTCTTCTCAGGACCTGACAGCTGGAATTCCTTGTCCTCCACTCCCCACGCCAGCATCCTGTCTGTACCCCACACCAATGGACCAATCAACCCAGGGCCCAGGTGAGACCAACACTGTTGACTTGCTCACAGGTGGTCCTGGAGGCTTCCGGTAGTCCCTCCCGGACACTCAAGTGCATTCTTCTCCTAGGATGGCTGAGTCTAAGCTATTGTCCTGACTCCTAAGCTACTAGGAAGTGAAGGTGACCACAGGATGACTTTCGTAGCCGGAGAAAGGGAGGCAGGGAAGCACCGATTCAGCTCCATGCTCTGTATTTTCCAGTGCTGGCATTTCATACTGAAAAGGGAAAACACCATGGCCTGGGGTCAGTGGTCTTGAGCCAAGCAGAGTCACTTTAAACTGGGGTTGTAACAAATAGACACCGAATACTGGGACACCAAAAGGAAATATACACAAGAAATTCAGATTCTTGATCGTCCATATTCTCATAAGTCTTCCCCTCTAAAAAGCAACCCGTTGGGTACCTGGCTCACAGCCCCGGTCATAGGGCTGAGTGTAGCATGTGGGACCCATGGCATAATTCTCACACCAGAGACCTGCATTTAGCACTGACTTCCGGAAATCAGAACATCAGCATGGTGGAGAGGAGAGAGGAGGCCCCTTGGAACCTGACAGGTAGGAGCTGGGGTACCAGTTCCATCTCATAACGACTTTGTGTCTTTGGAAAATATTCTCAGCTTTACTGAGCTCCAGATTTCTTATCTGTAACCCAGAAATAGTATGGTGAGCACCAAAATGAGAAAAAGCTTTGTGAGCAGTCATATTCTGTGGAAGTGTCAGCTACTATGTTCAGTATGTACATGCAGAATTCTGAGCAGGTCCAAAAGGGATTCAAAATTGAAAGATGGCACCTGAGGAGACATCAGATGATGACGACAACTTGTAGGTCTAGAGAAAGTAGGAGAATATGATGGCTTTTGGTCAACAGTGGGGCTTTCATAATTTAATGTGTCCCGGAAGCAGGCTGTAGTCTTGGCTAGGGCCTGAGCCATTGGATTTCTAACAAGACTTCAAGTGTTGCCGATGCTGCCAGGCTCACAGGGGTCTAGAACTGTGCTGTCTAATGTAGCAGAAGCAGCCATTGCGCTACTGAAGACCTGAAATGCAGTTTAACCATACTGAGAGGTGTGGGAAGTATAACAAACACACAGGATTCTTAAGACAGTATGAAACAATGAATAAAAAAATATCAAATTTTTTGACCTATAGTGCCTATTGAAATGATAATATTTTGAATATTTTCAGTTGCTCAGAATATTAACAGGTTCATATCTTTCCTTTTTCTAAATGCGGCTACAAGGAAATGTAAGCCTGCATGGTGGCCGGCCCTTGTGCCTCACATCCTGTTTCTGTTGGGCAGTGCTGGCCTGTGGGACTTGAGTAAGCAGCAATTTGGGCTGTGGTAGGAAGTGGGAAAGAGAATGAGCAGGGGAACCCTGAGGATGTGGAACAGGCATGCGTCAGATGCTGTGCTAGATGCTTAAGGAAGTCAGCTGTATTCCTCGAAGACATCTACAAGGCAGGTGTTAAAACCCCTACTGTCCAGGGCTGGGGATTTGGCTCAGTGGTTTCGCCGCCTGCTTTGCAAGTGCAAGGTCCAGAGTTTGATCCCCTGTACAAATAACAACCCCCCCCCCAAAAAAAACCCTCCTACTTTCCAGATGAAGGCACTAAAGCTCAGCAGCACTGAACTCCCCTGAAGTCATGCAGCAGGTTAATGAGGAGTGCATGTTTCTCCCACGGGCTGGGAGGCATGGAGAGGTTTCTAGGGAATACGGTATGAGAGCCTCTGGTGGAGGGCATCATATGGTTTAGCGTCCAGCAAGAGGGCAGCTCAGAGAGCCAAGAGGAGGGATCCCTGCAGGTTCCCATGGTCCCAGAAACTACACAGCCCCTGCTGTGTGGCACAGGGTGCAGGGTGGTCTTGCTAACTGGGTTTCCTTGTTGGCGCGTTTAACCCATTTTTTTTTTTTTTTGGTTTGGTACTGGGGATCAAACTCAGGACCTTGCACTTGCAAGGCAGGTGGCGGAACCACTGAGCTAAATCCCTGGCCTTTAACCCATTTTTGACACCCTAAGAACTTTGTTAGAGGAAAACAAATGTGTTCAGTACTGTCATGGACCAGGAGGCAGCACCAGGCAGTGAGGAAGCTAAGAAGTCAGGACCTAGTGACGACCGAGGCGTAGATCATTGGCGGTTATTCTGTTTCAACTGCAGTCATGTGCATACGGGCTCTGTATTAATGTGCAAACTTCACCACACATAAAATCAACTGGGAAGCTTAAAAGAATTCCTGAGAGCCCGGCTGCGTGACAGACCAGTTAACCAGAAGGTGGGATGTGACCCAGGCATCTGCTGCTGTTTTTAAACACACTAAGGGGTTCCAGTGTGTCACCAAATTTGGGAATCAGTGCAACAGCCGTGGAGAAGGTGGAGAAAGTGGCCCAGCTTTTATGGCAGGGACCCGAGCTGACAGGTGGAGATCAGGGATGGGAGAGTTAATTATAACTCCCACCTACTGTGTGCCACCTTCAGGGAACCATACTCACCCTCTTATTTCGCCTTCACAGCCGTCTCCAAGGTCTGTAAAATATCACAGCAGATCTTGAAGAAGCTGACTCACATATGCGCTAACTTGACGAAGGCCCCAGAATACGTAGCAGAGATAGGATAGAGATAGTAGAGATAGGATGCAAACCCAGGACTTCTAACACCGAAGTCCCAGTTCTTATGTCTTCTTTGGGACCTTGCACTTGTGAGGCAGGCAGTGGAACCACTGAGCTAAATCCCGGCCCTCTTATGCCCTGTCTTGGCCAGGGAGACACCAGACTCACAGATCATGTGGTTCAAGTATCTACTTTTCACTGCCTTATCTACTTTATACGGGCTGCAAGGGTGATGTTCCAGAGAGTGAAATGCTATGTTTCAGATCCAGCCCCAGAACCCAGGTCACAGGACGGGTGATTTTATTCTCTCCTGCCATGCCTCCCTGCTTCTCTCGGCTTTTCTGCAGGAACAGGGCCTGTCTGGGCACTGCTTTCTTAAAGCATCACCAAACATCCCCCTCTCTCTGTGTCTTGCAGCCCCTACCCATGCCTGTGGACGATCAGCAATGGAGGCGGAGGTCCTGCAGGCTCGGCCGCGGAGGTCCATGCCAGCGGCGCTGGGGCGTTTCTCCTGGGAAACCCAGCCGTGACTTCGCCCCCCTCAGGGCTGCCCACGCAGGCGGCCGCTTCGGCAGGTGTGGAGGTCCTGGGAGAGCCCGCGCTCACCAGCATTGCGGTGTCCACCTGGACGGCGGTGGCCTCGCATCCCTTCCCAGGCTGGGGTGGCCCGGGTGGGGCTGGGCGCCACTCTCCCTCCCCTTTGGACAGTTAGGAAGGATCCGAGGAGCCCCTGTTGGCGGAGGACCCCGGATGTGTGTAGTCTGAGAAACCCCATCTGCCGACTCCAGCGCCTCCAGGTCAGCGTGTCCTGGAAGTCCTCCCCGAGATAGGCTGGTGTGGAGGATGCGAAGCACATCTCCCCTCCACTTTCCTTTGCACTCGCATGTTCTCTAGGCTTCTCCTTGCTGCACTTAGGCGACGAAAATCCACCAAATCACTTCTTGGTTCCCTGCCCCTTACCTGCAAGTGGTTGCTGAAAGCCTCCCTTCCTTTTCTCTGGAAGTGGTGTGAAGCTGTGAGCTCAGAGTTCACCCAGCAAGGCCACTCTGTCCTGTTTTGTGCAGCCCTGGAAAGTGTGTGGCCACGGGGCCTGGGCTGGCTTCTGCTCTGGGACTGAGACAGATGTGAGCCTGCACAGTGGATGAGAAGATGTAGCAGATCCTGTGCTACGGCGGTGTGCGTGGAACTGAGGAGATGAGCCCGCATCACTCCCCTGCTCAGACACCCGAAGCAGCTCCCCATTGCCTGCAGATCTGCTTCTACTAAGGAGATTCTGGCTCTCACCCTTTTTCCAGCCTTGGTTCCCTCTGTCAGCCTCTACTTCCTGTTCCACCAAAGCGTTTGTGTTCACTGCCCTTTCCTTCTGGACGCCTCCCCTGTGCCTGGGGGTCCCTCTCTCCCCAGTTCACCTGTGTGGCCCCCCTCCCCACCCGGGGTCCCTGCGAACTGCACTTCCGTTGTGAATCATCGGAGCTGGCGAATTTCACCTTTCCCCAGCGCCTGCTCTCCCTGCTCTATCTCAGAGCTCACCTCCCTCTGTTTTGAGTTTTTGTTACCTGTGAGGTTGCCGCTCCCCACCAGACTGTGAGCCTCTCAAGGGGGAGGCCTGGCCTTCCCGTCTTTGCGCCCTTCAACACTCTGCACTGTGCCTTGCCTGTTGTAGGTGCCCAATAAATGTTTGCTGAGCTGAATTGAAGTGTGTGTGTGTGTGTGTGTGTGCGTGTGTGTGTGTGTGTGTATGACAGGGTGGTCAGGCACAGTGAGCACACCTCTCAGTACTTTGGGAGGCTGAGGCAGGAAGATCACAAAGTTCAACCCAGCATGGGCAACTTAGCCACTTAGCAAGACCCTATCTCAAGATAAAAAATAAAAAAGGGCTGGGGATGTAGCTCAGTGCAATGGCCTTGGGTTTCATCCTTGGTGTATCAGTCAGTGCTCACTGGAGAAACAGATTTAAATAAGATATATAAATATATCTGGATTTACTGGGTGGGCTTATGATGGCCACCCACAGTCAGGTGTGGGAGAGTGCAAAGGGCTGTCTGCGGGCTGGAGATCTGGAGGACCCAGTCAGAGCTTATAGGGCTGGCGCTCACTGTAGAGTCCTGTGCGAGTCTGTATCAGGAAGCTGAAGAGTCTGTGCTGGAAGCCAGGAGAGGGACATCCCAGGTGAAGGGGAAGAATGGAGCTCTTCCAAAGAAACCAAAGCGAGTTTCCGTCTTCTTTCCCTTTTTATTCCATCCAGGCTGCAAGCCTATTGGTCGGTGCCACTCACACCAGGGTGGGTCTTCCCTCCTCAGTAAGTCCATCAGCCACACCCAGAACTGTGCTAAGCCAATTAGTTGGGGGAAATACCAGGACAGCATGGAGCGAGCTCACCAATGCAGGCTCCGTGACATGGCACCACACCAGTGTGGGAGCCCTGGGACACACTGGTGTCCCCTCGGCCTGCCACATGAGGCACAGCCACCTCTCGGTGGTTGATAATTTATAAGGAGGTAGGGTGTGCTAGAGGTGTTACTCCTTAACATGGCTTCTTGGACCCTCTGGGCTGGGATTGCCTGGAAAATCTGATAGGAACCCAGATTCCTCAGTGCACCCCTTACCTGTTGGGTCAGAACATTTGGGGTTGAGGTTCAGAAGTCTCATCTCAGATGCACTTGAGCCTCTACTATCCAAGGTTATTGCTATAACCAATGAACCAAGCTGTTGTTTCCTCAGTCTTGGTTTTTCCTTTTCCACCACCACTGGATGTGCCCCTAACCGTGGGAGGGGGGCTTCCAGACTGGAGTGGTGAGCAGCTTGCCCAATGCTGACAGTGCAGCCCCCTCGGGCTGCCACAGAAGGGTCAAGGAACTTGGGGTTTCACTCTGTGCCTGGGCTTGATGGCTTCCATTCCTATGTCATCAGCCGAGCCCAGGGAAGTATGCTCCTTTGTTTAAATAAAAATGAATTACAGTAAAAGGCACATTGCTACTAATCCCCCTCAAACCACTTCTCCGCACTTTGAACACCTTTACCCTGTTGTTTTTGCCATCTTCTAAAGCAGTTCTGGAAGTCCTCTTTCCTGAGTGTCTTTAGTTGCATTGTGGTGAGTGACTCAATGTCTTGAATTGATTCAAAACATTTACCCTCGACCCAGTTATATCCCTTCTAGGTATCTTCCAGAGAGTTAAAGACATCATATTTCAATGATATATGCATATCTATATTTATAGCAGCACAATTCATAATAGCTAAACCTTGGAAGCAGTCTATATGTCCATCAACAAATGAATGGATAAGGAAAATGTGTTTACACACAATGGAGTGCCACCCTGCCATAAAGAAGGATGAATTCAAGTCATTTATAGTCACTTTGAGACCATAATGCAAAGTGAAATACATCAGACACAGAAGGCTAAATGTCACATGGTTTCTCTTATATGATCGGTGAGTGAAAGACTGAGGCTCACTGTACTATACAACCGTTCTCTGGGAAGCTGCCTGGACAGCGTGTCCCCCACCTGTTCCTGGTTGCTCACTCCCTCTGTGATACCGTTAGAGGCCATGAAAATATTACCACATTAGCATCTCTAATATGTACCTTGGTAAATTTTAAAATGTGGCCCTATCTCATTCTGTTAGGAGTTAAGGATTTGGTGGCCTCCAGCTGACTGGCAAAGCACTTGCTGCACCAGTGAGTCACGTGCCAAGTGCTTACTCAGCAAGTGACATTAGGTCTGGAAAACCCATCCATAGCTTTGCCCTTCACACTGCTCCCCCAGCCCGGAGCAAGCAGAAGACTTAGTCCAGAGGCTCAGGACAGAAAGAAGCCAGTGGTCTTCATTCTTTTTTGTCATTTATGCCGCTCAGGTGGATTGGGCTGGGTCCTCTGCAGAGCAGAATATTAGCTGCCTCTGGGTGATTGTGTCACATCAGTTTTATGGGATGCTTAGCTTGGAATCTATGAAGATTCTTAAGCACACAATGTGATAATCTGTTCTGCATATTTGCTGTTAGGTATTCATCTAGAGCCATTTACTCTCTCCAAATAGTCTTTTTTCCAAATAGTTCAGGGGTAATTTTCTAATCAGAAGGAGCAACATTAATGACTTAAGTCAGTTTAAATAAATGACTGAGTCTTTGCTGTGCTGGGCAAACTTTGGGACCCGTATCCCATCTCCTTCCTCCTGTATCTTCTTTACTCAGCTTGTCACAAAACTAAGACAGTGCCCCTCTCGGTTTTCAGGCCTCTCCCATGATATGGATCCTCCTTCAGGGACAGAAGTCATGCAGTTCTTTTAGCCAGATGGTGAGATTTCAAGTCTCCATAAAGCCTTGTCTATTTGAAGAATTTTTCCTTGTTGGACTCGTCTTTGGGTTTTGTGACCATGCCAGCTCTTCCTCCTCAGGAGAGCCAGCCTCGTTGTCACCTACCTCTGCCCATGTCCCAGAGCCAGATGCCTATGGGAGGCTGTCACTTGGTGGGACCTTTTAGGATTAGGAGGTAGTTGTGCAGAGGTGGTGATATGAGGGGAGCGATGTTTGCATTATCTGCACTGTTAAGGAAAAACCTTAATAAAAGATATTTGCCATTGGCACGTGTTTGTTACTCTCTCTCAAGACTAGAATAAACATAGGTGAATATGAACAAGTTGAAATAATGCATTCATGAAGAATATGAGCTCTATCTTATGAATTGTGGGTCTGTTAATGTTGGGGAGTGGTGACTGGGGTGTTCAAGTGGCATTTCTTTCAGCTTCCTCTTAGTTTTCATCCCTATCCCCATGGAGGCAAAAGAGAAGAGCCTCATGGTCTGAAGATGCCAGAATGTTCCCACCATCTTCACTGTGCAGACGTCTGTGATGTGTATCCACTGCCCTAACTTTCTTCTGGGAGTAGGACTGCCCTACACACTTTCAAACTGCCCCATTCTCCCACATCTGTGTCTTTACTGGGGACTGTCATGCTTGGACTTGACCCTGCCCCTCTGAGCAGTATCCATTGTTCAGAGGTTTGTGTCACTTGCACTAAAGAGTCCCATCAGCTATAGGAAGAACAAAGGGCCCAGCACCAGGAAATGCACATGGGCCCATTTGCTTCAAGTTTCACATGTGAAGGGTTATCTGAGACCCAAGGAAATGTACTGAAAATGGAGGCGATGGAGTTGATACCCAAGGCTCATTATAAAGCAAACCTCAACATTATCATCATCATCATCATCATCATCATCATCATCATCATCATCATCGTCATCATCGTCATCGTCATCATCATTGTCATCATCAGACCATACAAATGGTCATTTGTGGGGCTGGCTGGGCGGGGATGAACTCTGTAGGGCAAGGTCAAGCAGGAGCTGATGCTGCTGTCCAAGGTGAAGTTTCTTCCTCTTCAGAGAAAATTTAGTTTTGCTCTTAAGGACTTTCAGCTGGGTAAGGCCCACCTACATTAGTGAGCGTAATTTTCTTTATTTCAAGTCAGTTGTGATGGTTAATCTTAACTGTGAAGTTGATTGGCTTGAGATCTGCCTAGGAAATCAGCAAAGCACACTTCTGGGTATGTCTGGGTGGGGCATAGGCCTTGGTGACTATGTATGGTGGTCTCTTGTCTCTTCCTCTGTGGCTCTTTCCCTGCTCTCTGCTTCCTGGATAGGATGATGTGAGCAACTTTTCTCCACCATGCAGTTTATGCTGTGGGGCCAGTTGGCCATGGACTGAAACCTTTGAAACCATGAACCCAAATGAACCCGATTTCCTTTAAGAAGTGTATGTCAAGTCTTTTGGTCACAGTGATAAAAAACTGACTAATACATCAATGGGCAGTAGATGTTGATCACATCTGCAAAATACCTTCGGCCTAGAACGATTGACACATAAAAATAACCATTCCAAGAACCCAAGTTTATTGTTCATTACCTTTGCTTCAGCAGAGTTGGAGAGAACATCCCTGGAGCATCACTTATGGAGGACAAACAAAATACTGTGAAGATTTGGATAAAAGTCTTTGGAGGAAAGTCTGCCTTTTGGTCCTCTGAGAGTCAGTGTAGAAATTGTCCACAAGCAGATATTGTTCAGTTCCAGAGGCGAAGGTACAGAGGTGCCACCCTTTGCCACAGGCCTGAGATGAAGGAGGACCAATGCCGAGGACCCGGGCTACTGATGGAAAATTGGAGTCTGGAAAAGCTGGAGGCCAGAGCAGCTTATCGGACCCACATTAGGACTTGGATGGAACTGCCGGGGACGGAGGTGGGAAGCTAGTCAAACGTGCACTCTCAAAATGGCGAAATCTGAGATTCACATTCCCTGGTTGTGAGCACTCTAATTTGGAGTGCCTTGTAGGAGTAACCTTGCGTGGGTTTAAGCGGAAGTGTGTGCATGAGTGTATACATTTGGTGAGAAGTTTTCTGTCCCAAGAGAAGTCAGTAAACCTTTGGGATAGAATCATTTTGTGTTGGAAGAGCACTTTTTTTGGGGGTCGGGGGGATGAGGTTGTGTGGAAGAATGTAACAGGGAGTTTGGGGTGAATCAGGGCTGTAGATAGACCTGTGATACCTCCCATTCATCTGTGAGATAGGGAGACCTTAGAGGTTGCAAGAGGGGTCAGACCTGTATAGTAAGGAACATAGTGATGTCTTCTTAGAGGGAAAGGGACTCAGATTTTGACCTTTCCTCTTGGTGGTTCAAATTTAGTTGCCATGTAATATTCCATTGT